GAGGGGTTGGAACTAGATGATCTTTGAGGTCCCTTCCAACCCAAACCATTCTTTGAATCTATATGGTATGGAATGTGCCTTTGGTCAGTTGGGCTCTGCTGTCCTGGCTGTGTCTGCTCCCAAGTTCTTGTGCACCCCCAGCCTACTTGCTGGTGGGGTGGTGTGAGAAGCAGAAAAGGCTCTGTGTAAGCACTGCTCAGCAGTAATGAAAACATCCCTGTGTTATCAACACTGTTTTCAGCACAAACCCAAAGCGTAGCCCCATAGTAGCTCCTATGAAGAAAATTAACTCTACCCCAGTGAAAACCAGCACAACCAGAAAGGAAACAAGTAGTTCAGTGAGCACTAGAACTAGTGATGCTTAATTTCTTACAGATTTGTGTCTTATGGTTGCTTGACTGTGGTAACATGCAGGTTGCAACTGAAACTTTCCCCTATGGCTAGGGGAAAAGCAGGAAAGTGGTTTATAAAGGCCATCTTATCTTGAGTTCTATTACATGTAATATGACATGAAGCTTATATTGAAACTTTCCCTTTGGGAAAACAGTGACAGGTGGTTGTTGTTGTTATTATCCACCAATCACCTTTTTCCATGAAATTTGTGAGTGCTTAATATATTTGAAAACTTTTCTCTGCTGTCAAGTTTAAAGAAAATCCATCCACAGGCTTGAAAGTCATTGGTGAATCACACATATGCATATAACGCAAACACAGGGGCCTCAGTTTCTTGGGGGAGTGAGCTGAAAGCAAAAACTCCTATAAAGAGATTGAACAACAGTGGTGCTGTTGGAGTACTGCATGAATTCTATTTTTTTTACATAGGTGAAGGCATGCCCTTTCATTAGTGCTAGATGTAAGCTTATACCAATTAATGCAGTAACTTGTTAGTATTAGAGATTTATTATATGCCTAATTTTCTGTAGCTAGTTATATCAAATTCTGGTGGTTAGTGGGTTTTTTTGTTCGGTTTTTTGGGTGGTTTTTTAATGAAATAATCCTAGCTTTTTGTATCACTACCTGTAGATCTGTCAAAATGCTTAGCTTTGTTGCTTTAAGGAGAAAACAGAATTTTTTAGTTCCTTTAGGTGAAAAATGATTGGGAGAAAAGTTTAACAGTATTTTAAATAATAGGACATTTATAATTGATAATGAATGTGCTGGAGCACCCCTCCTATGAGGACAGGCTGAGAGAGTTGGGGTTGTTCAGCCTGGAGAAGAGAAGGCTCCAGGGAGACCTTATAGCAGCCTTCCAGTACCTGAAGGGGCCTACAGGAAAGCTGGTGAGGGACTGTTTACAAGGGCATGGAGTGATAGGATGCGGGGTAATGGCCTTAAGGTGAAGGAGGGTAGATTTAGATTAGATATTAGGAAGAAATTCTTTACTGTGAGGGTGGTGAGGCACTGGAAGAGGTTGCCCAGAGAAGCTGTGGCTGCCCCTGGCTCCCTGGAAGTGTTCAAGGCCAGGTTGGACGGGGCTTTGGGCAACCTGGTCTAGTGGAGGGTGTCCCTGCCCATGGCAAGGAGGTTGGAACTAGATGGTCTTTGAGGTCCCTTCCAACCCAAACCATGCTATGATTAATGTGCAGGAAAGATGTCCAAACAAACATAAAATCAGAGTATCTGATTTTGTTATATGCAGAGAAGTGTCTTTAGTAGGATTCAGTGATTTATTGAAAAGCATGAAATAGATCAGTGTGTTAGAGAAAAAGCACAGCTGTGCCAGTTTGTCAGATGAAAAGTGATGGCGCTGCTTGTTGTGACAGAGGAGAATAATTTGAATGTAAAGAGTTTAACTTTTAATTTAGGGTTCTGGTGATTTGAAATGTGCCATCAAGGCTGCCTGATAAACCAGTAATTGTATTAAGAAACAGCCCTGAAGGAAACTCAGAGCAGACAAATCTAGGTTTCCCTGGAAGAACCTGCTAAAGGTCTACATTTTCACTTTGAATGCAAATGTTTGTTGACTGTGTTCAGAACACGAGTTGAAATAGCACTGAACTGCAGGCAAACAGAAATAAAGTTAAAATGTCAGTAAAATCACTTCTTCAGGTCAGAATTTTATTGTAATATGTACTATGTGATCATGCGTTGAATAGTTTGCTTATATTTCTGGACCATGGTGATATCTTATGAAATAAAAAAATCTACTTTTTATGAAAAGTATTTTTTTCTGAAATATTTGAAGCATGTATGTCTGTCTGAAAAGTGTTTCACACAGGGATTGTGAATAGCAACCTGGCACATAAAACACGTAATGGAAATACTGCTGAATAACTTTCACATATTGATCTGTTTTAAAGTAGTTGTAATCATGATGATATATACAATGGGAATTGAGGCTAACTGAGCAAAAGCAGGTTTATGACTTGTGTTTTCTTTTTAAACCAGAGATACTTGCTGCTGTGGTAATACTCTACGTATGGTGCAATCAGCACAATAGTCGTTGTCTGTGAAGATACTAAGTCATTGCTTCTTTTAGGTTTAAGAAATGTTTTTATAAATTACAGGAAACTCATTCTAGAGTACTCTCCATTGCACCAATAAACTTTTTTTTTCTTCCTGCAACTGTTGCGAAAAGTGAATAAAAAGAGAAGGCAAATAACAGAGTGCTTTGGCCATTAAAAATGAACAATTGCTCTCCATATCAGGGCTGCATAAATCTTATTGGTACTACATAAATGAAGGGAGTGCACTAATGTTTCTTTTGTCTTGGGTAAGAGTAGAACAGTAGGAATCTGACGATACGGTATCCTCTATCATAGTGGAGACAAGATTCAGGTTATTGTATGTGAGACAGCTTCTAATTAAGCTCTTCTTTGTGGTTGATGTTAAAAAAATACAAAAAATTCAGGTGTGGGGGAAAGGGAGAAAAAGAGCAGACCTTAGTGCAGCATTTCCTAATTTTCTGACTTTAGGATTGAGCATTTTGAACTCTCCTTCCCCTCTTGTTCTTCCCCTTCTATTCTGGAAGAATAAGAAAGATGTTAGTTTGTTGTATACAATGGTATATCTTAGCCAAGTATTTTGTAAGGGAATTTCCCATAGTTTAGGTCTTGTGTGTGTGTGTGGTGGTGGTGGTGGTGTGGTATGTAGAAATTTGTTTGAATGTGAAAGTTTTGTGTATCAGTCTAGTGTGCAAAACAAAGTCATCTGCCAAAGAGAAAGTACCGGTCTCTGTCAGTTACCTGTGTCAAACCAAATTAGTGGCCCTGGTCCTATAACAGCAATAAATTCACTATGTGATGATCCCAAAATCTTAACTTTAAAGCAACAATCGACGACATCTAGCTCAGACATAAAATTACTACAAGAGTCACTAAGACTGTGTGGTCACATCTGTTCAAAAAGACCCATAAAACGTCACCAGCTTTAAAGTGATGTCAAATGCAATTTTACTTTTCACGGGACTGACCTCTCAGTGGCTCTTCGTTCTGTGGAAGAGGCAAGTCAGGTGAATGAATGAGTTCAGCAAATGACTTTGTTGGATTTTTGGTTATGGCACTGTTCCTGCTGTAAGCCATGTTTATGTTAGATTTCTTGGTTTTCACCCTCAGCTGGGACTGGCTTTTGAGTCTTGGCTAAGCCACAAATCTCTTAATGTATTTTGGGATTTATGAGTGGTATGTAGTGGCCTAATAACACATTTGTCTGTTAACAAGCCTGAGCAGAGTGAATGAGAATCTCCAGTGCACCTTTGGAGACGTGAAGATAATGGCTCACAAGTTTCTCCAAGTCAAATTCTTGGTACAAATTTCTTTAAGTTAGCTTTCTACTTTTATCTTCTATGGTCTTTTACTTATGCACTGGAGTGAGCTGAGTTTGCCCTGCTAATTCCCATCTCATTTTAGCTCCTGGCTTGGCAGTTGCCTGAAGCCTAGAACATGGAGAGAAGCCTTAGTTCTCTGTTCCGTGTTTGTTATTCAGGGTTGATACTGTTTACAGTCTTTTGTTGCTAAACTCACCGTAGTACTTAATGGTTTGTGTAGTAAAAATTCTGGTGTGCTGGCAAGATGTTTTGACCTGTTCGTTTACCTTAACTTTTTTTCTTTGTAGTAAGAACTTTGTCATTCTTAACAAGATGCTAAATAAATAATGCTAAAAAACACTAGACTCTATTGCTGGCAGTGTTGCAAGTGTAGAGCAGTCTTCTGCTATGCTCCTGACAAGTTTTTAGGACAACCTGAGTTTCACTGGGAGGTACTGCAGTTGGACTTGCTGATCTTATAGGTCTTTTCCAACCTAAATGATTCTATGATTCTATATATTTAAAATTGCTTCTCTTGAAGCAGAAAAGTGGAATCAAAGCTAACATGGAAAAATCAGAATTTCATTATGTGACTCTAATGACATTTACTTGGTGTACCCTGGAAATGAAACACCACAGAGCTCTTAAAGCTTTATATGTGCACACCCACCCACCAATGCTTTATGTAATTAATTTACTAGACAGTGGAAATTAAGTTTTCTAGTTCCAGGTCTAAGCTTTAGAAGATTTTTCTTGTAACATATATCTCTTGTTCCAACAAATAAAATAGCAAATCCACAAGATTTGACCTTCTCTCCATAATATTTTGGGTAGACGATATTTCAGTTTCCCAGGCTAGAAAGCTTAATTTCTCCTCACACTGTTGCTAGAAATGATCTTATTCATCCTCCTAGTCTTATTACCTATAAAATTAAGTGAGATATTGAACCGATAAGCCATCAAATCCCCAAAGTGTTAAGTCTACCAAAGAGGCAAGTTAGAGGGATGAGGCAGTTCAGCAACTGACTGGGTGGTTTTCTGATGACACTGTCCCCAGTAGTAGCCATGTTAGACCTTTTGGGTTTTCACCTCAAGGTCTGAGCTGCAGATGAGTGGGATGCTTGAAGTCAGGTGTCATTGTTAGCCATCTTTTTTTGGGGTACTATGCAGCTCTGCTACCATCTGCAGTAACAACACTTGTCCTGAAATGACACTGTAGCATGTGTATTTATATAATGTTGGTTGGTTGTTTTTCAGACACACGATGAACCCACTGATACAAGATACAGCTAGCTAAACAGCTATAAAATGCCCAAATTTGGGTCCACAAAAACAGTTCAAGTTGAAAATTCTGACAGTGATAGCACCATGGTGGAAAAACCAACTTCAAGAAAGGTAACAAAATTATATTCATGTCCATTTAATTTCAGTGAAATGAAGAGCATGTGTTCTATCATGATCTTTGTTACTGTAATGGGAAGAAATAAATATGAATCTGTATTCTGGTATCTTGAGTGCATAAGTTTTTATGGCTTTAACTGTAAATTAAACTAGGGAACAGAATTTATGCCCCTTATTGTAGCTTAATTCAAAAGGAAGCTGGAGGCGTTGGATTTATTTGATATAAGTTAGTGCATAGTTTCCGTATCTTACATCATAGGAAGTCTTCATACGCTCACAAGAACAATGATTCATATTTAATTTAATTTTACAGTGTCTTACTCTCTGTAACAAACACATGAAGCATTTCTGAAGGCCTGTGACAGAGCATAGACCAATGAACAAACATAAGTTTCTTATATTCCTTTGTAACACAGGGACTTTTTCCCTCTGTTAGGACTTGAAAGCTGAATGCTGCAGAAGGGTTAAGAGTAACCCATGTACAGGGGAGTCCACTTTAAAAGCTGTACAATCCATTTTGTTGGAGAACAAAGGAGCCTGCAAGCTCCAGTAATACTGAAGGGTGGTTTGTTGTTTATAAATGTGAAGTATCCTATTATTCTCAAACTTCTGGAGTGAACTTGCAAATAACCCAGTTCTCCATTTTGTCTGCCTAGTATGGTTGTACAACAGATAAGTTTAACTGTAGTACTAATGAATAACAAAAGATGGAATAATATTCTGTATTGTGAATGATGAGTTGTATATTTCCTTAAGGAGAGAGAATTCATTTATCTCCTAAACAATGTTTAAAACTGTTTTCTCTGGAAATGGAGACTGCGTGAGATCATCCTTACTATTTTGTTGAAGTCTGTATTCTCTGTAAAACCACTTAATGAAGACAGAGATGAAAAAATAGGAAAAGATGAGAAGATCCAGCATCTGCTTCAAACTGTTTGTCTTCTGAAAACTTTCATAGAAAACAGCGGAGTTTATTCTCTTCCCAGTTTGTTTTATGGGTCCCAGTAAAGTGAGGCAAAGGTAGTTTCTGCTAGCTGTGTTGAACTGCTTCAATAAGAAGAGGAAGATAACAGAGTAAAATGGGGAAAGGAAATTGACTTATTAGTAAAGGGGTGAAAAAATGTTGGTGTTTGTTGTTTTTGTTCTGGTCCTTGTTTGGGCTATGGTCAAGTTAATTGAAGTGTCATTCAGCACTGGGAATAAGGCAGGGAAACTCTGAGGCCTACAAGCAGCAAGAATAGGAAGGCTGTTGCAGTGAAATTTAGTGGTATTCAGTACCGCCTTTTTATTTATACACTTGTAAATAAGGTACGTTTTGGAAAGATTTTAGGTTATTTATTTAACTACAATATTTTCTGGCTTTATAAACTCTTGTTATCTTGACGTTTCAGTATTTCTGAAAAAAGTTTTGAGACAGGAAAGTCTTGAAGACATAACCAACAGCTGCTCATGCTAGGAAAACAGACACATCTTTTTTTTCAAGCTTTATTTGTGTTTTTAATTAAAACTCATAGCACAGAGGTTAAAAATGAATTTTCATCTTTTGTTCACTTTCATCAAAACAAAAATAGTGGGTTTACTGGAATGTGTCAATTTTTAAGCTTTCCTTTTCCCGGTTTCTGTGCTAAAGGTATTGCTTGGAATGCATTCATTTGTATGTTTGAATGTATAGAAATATATATCATATTTTTATAGTGCAAATAACTTTCTTCCTTTGTAGGCTTTGAATTTTACATACAAATTGTTCTGCAATCTAAGTATAAAAAAAATAATAAAAATAAAAAGTTTACTTCTGGGGCCCGTTTTCCTTCTCCACTCTCCACCTCTGACTCCCCTTCACCTCCTCTCCCTGTTGCTTGCTGCTAAAATAAAAAAATGGCCTTTGTTTCCAGAGCGGCTGTTGAATCTGCAGCCATTACCAAAGGAACTCCCTTAGCAGTGATCCTCGTGCCCACTTCAGTATTTGCTGCTTGTCTTGAGACCTTCCTCTCCAGTAATCTCCTGCCTCTGATCTGCTAATAACTGTAGCAGTTGTGTCTGCTGAGCCATTTAACCCCCCTACCCTGCAATCTCTGCAAAGTTAGGTGATCATGTGAAACAGATACGTGTAGCTCTCTTTCATCAGAATAAGATATGAATCCATGTGAAAATATGAATAACTTTTTCTAGGGACCAGAATAGTCAACGTGCTGTCATTTGTTTAACCACCAGGAAACATGGCAAATTTTGATTTTATTTAGAAAGGAGTAAATTAGCATTCTGTTTTTAATGGTTGCATAAAACCCTTTCATTGTTGAAAGGTGAAGATGAAGGTTTATCCTTAGCTGGCTGCTCTTACGAGGAAATGCTTCTTGTTGAGACTGATCACTAGTACAGGAATTAGAAGTATGGACAAATGTGCTACGTTCAGATTCTACCTTGCCTAGTATTTGAGATGCCAGTGAAGGCAGGGTTACTTAGGTAATTAAAGTCCAGAGGAAGATGGAAGTTTGACCAAGGACATATGTATGGAAACAAAATGGTGGACTAATTAGATTGATACCAAACAGTAAATTGATAAACCGCTTGCACTGTTATGTTCAGTCTTGCTTGCTATCCTCCTTGGCACAATATATAATGTGAGATTAGAATAGTGTAGGATTTGGTTTGGGGATTGTATGGTATAAATTGATATATGTAACATTGAAAATGTGAGATCCTAAATAAAATTACAGAATTGTTTAAGTGCTGCAGTTAATATTCCTGTATTCAGGTTTCTAGCATAATAAATGCAGTTTGGTTGCTTTTGTCATATTTTGAGAGAATTGAATACATGGTTAAAATGTTAAATAGTCACTCTAACAGTCACAGGAACTGTTCTGTAATACATGGACAAGTAATTATCAGCAGTGTTTAGGTGGCTTTTGAATAATCTGCTATCTTTTCCCATATATTAGAAAAAAATAGACAAAACATTGCCAAAAGTAATGATTTTAACTCAGCCTAGAAAATCATTTAAAATTCAACAGACAATACAGTAAGAGTAAAATTTTAGTTCGACTAACATAAAATCATGAAGGCAAATCTCTGTTATACTCACAGACATAAAACTCTGAAGACTGACCAGACCAAATCAACAGTGATTATTTTAAATGAAATATCTTCAGGAAGCAGTGGAAATTTCTGTAAAGCAAATAAGGATTTTTCTTAATATATAAATATTTGCAACCATGAATTTAAAACCAGTAGTCTTTGATGCATTAGAACTTCTTATGAAAAAGTTACGGATTCATTAACTTAATGTAGTTGATGTAAGGAAGTGTGAAATGATGCTACAGGTGAAAGGGATACTAAAGTAAAATTTTTGCTTTAGTGGCATTTTGGTATGGAAGTGTCTTGATTAATCTGGAAAATACCTCTTGTCCATACACTTTTCTCAGTATCGTGTGACCAGTGAGTGACCATTCACTGTGCCATCAGAGATGCCTGTGTCTTTTAGTAGCACGAAAAGACCCTCATGTCATCAACATTCAGATAATGGCAGTGGTCCTTAGTAAAAAAAAATGCATTCTAATTGTATTTTTCATGTAGCTTTGGCTTTTTATTTTTTTCTGTAAACTAGTACAGTCAAACCACTTCTGCACTTTGCCATGTAAACTTGCTCTTACTTGCTTCTGTGTCCACTTTGTTATTGAAGCAGAAATGTTTTTTGAACTACTCATGGAGCTTAATCTCTATGACTGTAAACAAACAGAAGATAGGTAGTTTAATTATCAGTGGTCCCTTATATGTTCATAGATGCATTATAGGCAGAGGAGGCCTAATGTGAAATAATGTTCACACAAAACAGTGCATTTACAAATGAACAGTAATGTTAAAGGACACCACTCCCTAAAAAATTCCTCATTCTTTTTCTTAAAATAAAACCTGTAATGGCCTAAGTATATGGTGTAAAACTATTCCAATATATTAAGATAAACACTTGTAGGATTTGTTTTTTCTCAGTTGATACAATGTTTAGCTCTTACTGGTTGTGCACTCTTAGCTGTTGAGTGAGGAATGTAGTAAAGTTATTGTTGTTATGAGACTGAATCTTTCATATTTGTCCAGTGGAAGTTAATGGTTATTATGCTGTTCTATCAACCAGTAAATAGCTATGTGAATCAGCTATGTGTTCAGGTATTCTGAGAGCTTAAAAAAAATCATTAAGAATAACATTCCTGTTAATAAGCCGAGTTTATATCATATATGCTTTAGAGTATGTGTATTTTTATTTCAGTTGCTCATTTTGGGAGCATAAAATAAATTAAAAAAAATGTAAGAGTGTATACAGCATATAGACCATTTAGTGTTTGCATGAGATGATAAGAACATAATGAAATTTTAATTTATCTAAATTTATAGGTTAGAACATACAAGGCCAAAACTCAGGGAGTAAATGATAGATATGTGGTCCAAAGGAGAAATACATTTGGGGTTTGTAAGAAGTAACTGTCCTCTTATAAGAGTCCAAAATAGTGCCCAAAGACATTTTAATACCATGCAGAACACGCTTCAGTATGTAATTATCTTTGCTAGGCAGAAAAAGAATGTTTATTCTCCCAGGGCTTAGTACATCTGCTAGATTATATGGCACTCTGTTGTGTCCTTTTGTGTCTTGTCATTGATTGTAGCGGTACCAGACAATAGAGCTGGAATGGGATATCAAGAGATTGTCCAGACTCCTGTTTGTTAGTCTTCCGAGACAGTTTCTGTTGAACAGATTAAAAATATCTTCCTCATCGTAGCACACTAGTATGGTTTTGTTGACAGAGAAAATTCTTCCTTGTTACTATATCCTCCAGTGTGGCATGCATTAAATATTGAGATGTGCAGGTCCAGTTCATCCATTTGCCCCAGAGTAGAATAAGCTGTACTGTGTTCTTGACAGATGTTTGCCAGACCTTTTCTTTAAAGCTTTGACTGATGGAAATTCCGGTCTCCTTGGGCAGTTTATTCTGATACTTAATTACACTGACTGGCATAGTTAGATGCTTAGTAGAAGAAAAAATAACCTTTACTTGTCTCCTGTTGCAGTCTTAAGCCATTAAATATTCTCTAACTGTAGTGGACATGGGGAGTATGTAATGCCTTTCTCCTTGCAGCAATAGTTTATGTATCTGAACATTATCATGTCTTCAGTGTTTTATTTGATTAGCAGTTTTCACTTTCGATTAATAAACCTCTTTAGAAAGTCCACAGATATTCTAAGTTACAGGTTGCTTTATAAAGATGTTGACTTTGTTTTGCGTTGCTTCCATGGATCACATTAAATGAATACATAGACCTATTCATGCTGAATTTTGAACCTTGTTTTGGACCCTGAAAAAGAGATCTCCATGCTGTTGCAGTGACCAGGAGTAGTTGGAACAGTGAATGCTCACACTTTAAACCAAAATGCCTGTTCTAACCTGCAGGGCTTGCTACCTCCTCTTGCCTTCCTTTACTTGAAGTTGAATCCGGGAGGCTGTTACTGATTAGTACCAAAAAAGTGATTATTTTTAAGGATTATCAACCACAAAAAAATTGCCTTTTTTTCTATAGAACGAATTGAAACCAATGTTTCCTGCTCATGAATTTTAAATTATTTTTAATTGATCCTTTGTATTGCATATTACCTAAGATGATAATCTAGAGAAAGCAATACAATTTTAATACCATTTTATCATATTGTGGGAAATTTACATATGTACATATGAGAAATAATTGGATTGTTTGGAATAAGGGAGGAGAGAGCTCTTGGTGAGGTTGGGCTGAAGTGGGGGAATTGTATGTTAGTGGAAAAGATCAGAATGGAATTAATGGAATTTGGAACTGCTTTTGTTAACTTATAGATGCATTTGCAAATGATTGGTTGCATTTGACTAACTTCTTTCAAAACTAATAGCACAGACACTTCATCTCCCAAGAGCTTAGGGGAGTCTTAAGGGGGTTTAGAGTTATAGATTTTCTTGTTCTAACGTGTAAGAAAAAGGCTGGGGAGGTGTGTGTTGTTTCCTTTGGGGCTTTGGAGGAGGGCTGGTTTTGGTGTGTGGGTTTTATTTGGGGTTTTGTTTTTTTCAGGTTTCCAAACTTAAGAGTGAAGAAAGGTTTTCTCTGCAGGCATTAGCCTTTTACTTCAGGAATTCTCCTGAAGTAAACTTCATAGACTGATCCCTTCTTTGTGATTTACCTGGTACAGACATTTGTTGTCTGAAGATTGTAGAGTTTGCAGGTTCTTTTTGTAATCATTTCTGTCTACCCCTTTGGCAATAGTTTAAACTCCGTGACAGATAATATAATCAAACTATTCTTACCTGTGTTTGTTTTTTTTTAAATAAAGGTGCTCTGGAGAATAGTACCTTGACGTTTGATAAGCCAAAAATCCCAGATTTATGCAACTAAAAATTCCAAATAGTTTGTACCTATTTTTTTCTAAATTCGGTACCAGTTAAAAAAGTTTCTTCATAGATTTTCTAAGTTCTTAGTAAATTCTGCTTTAGAAAATGAAACACTACACTATTATTCTTGTTGAAATAGAAAGGGAGTTCTGTATGGATGGATTACGGGATGGGGGTGGAGGCAGGGGATGGTTGTTAGAGGTTTTTTTGTTGTTATTGTGTTACTATTCACAGTCTGAATTGCAGTGTGGGCTTTTAATGTGCTTTTAATGTGATTATTATGTTATGGTCAGGAAAGGAAATCGGGATGGTCATTAAGACCTAGCAAATTCTTGTCTAGTTCCTGTTGTTTCTTTGCTTATTAATCAAGGCTCTAACAGTGAACAGCAGTTATTCCGTGATGTATCTGGAAGTAGAAATAACACAGGAGATACTAATTTTAAAAAGAAAGAAATGCTATTGATTATTTTTAGTAAGGTAACTTTAAAAATTTTTGAATAAACTACGTAATACACATACACACACACGTGCACATCCATTCTCACATAGCAGTCTTTTCAGTCTGTATACATTATAAGACTATTCTGCTTTATGCAAAAATTACTTAGTATACTTTTTATTTATATTAGAGCAAGGACAAGATTGCATCCTACAGCAAAACTCCAAAAGTGGATAGGAGTGATGTGGGGAAGGAGATGAAAGAAAAGTCTTCCATGAAACGTAAACTTCCTTTTACTATTAGTCCATCCAGAAATGAAGATCGCAATTCAGACACAGGTAGAACCTTTTTATTTCCTTAACTAATTATTTGTTGGTAAAATACGTCCTACTTTAATTAATTGTATATTATGGTTTTTATATTGATTAATATTTTCCCCATAAAAAAGGATACTAAGTACAAAAGTTGCTTGCTTGCTTCTGATTGTTGCATCTCGGTCTGATAGACTTTCATCCTATCATTAGCAAGAGCTGGCATGCCACCATAGTTTACCTGCATTTTCCAGTTGTTTCCTAACCTCATTCTTTTGCTTCTGTTTCAGTAAAAAGTCTTTCTTGTCATTGTCATCTCTAGAGGTCCTTTTGCTTAAACAAGTAGACGGATGAAAAGACATTTAAGTGCCTTGATTTGAGACACAGCTGTCAGCCTTTCATAGCCTTTTTTGGGGAGGGAGAGTGAGAAAGATTGGTAGATGCACTGTCCTCTGTATAAGAGAAAAGGTTGCTAAGGTTATGGAACTAACTAAACTAGTCATGGAGAGCAAACTTGTCTTCCAGTCTAAGCTCCTATGATCAGTTCAGCATACCTTCTCTGCACAGGCTGGTAGTTCTTCCTAACTTAAGCATATTCTGTTAGAACTGATTTCAAGACTTCAAAATACCATTCTTAACATGGCTCTTTTCAAATCAAGATGGAGAGGTCTGGATGTATTCTAAGAGTACAGTTATCTCTGAGTTTAGCTAATTAGTTATCCGTGTCATAGTTCGGTAATAGTTCTGTTGGTAGCAAGACATTATCTGTGCCCTCTGGAAGGCCACCAGAAGGCATGTTCCCCAAATTCGTCAGAGGTTTAGTACTGCAGTTTCTTATACACTGCTCACTGTACATTCAAATATTTTCATAAGCAGGTAATTCCCTTAATATGCTCAGATTTAAATGCAAGATAAAAGTATATACCTCAGTAACTGACTTTTGCCCAGGATTGATACAATACAGAAGATTTGGCTCTTGAATATCACATACATATTTTTATTACTGTAAATAGAATATGGTATGAAATCCAAATTTGAAATAGTCACTTTACAGAACAATACTCTTGGCTTTAGATCTCTGTTTTCAGTGGTTTTACAGAATTCTAGATTTTTACACTATTCATGATACCACTTGATTCTGAAAAGACCATGTAGAAATTAGGTGTATGCTCCCAGCATCTGCTTTACTAAATTTATTGCTTGGGTTTAGACTCTAACTGTTTTCATAATGGAAATAAATATATTTAGAAGTAATATTTAGCACTTATCTAATGTTTTCTGTGTTGGAAATCTTTTGTCATCTCTCTCCACCCCCATCAACTTTAAATAATTCATTGTCACAGCATCTCGTAAGGTAATGTAATTTTTTGTGTTTCTTTCGCTATAGCATCTGTTGTCACAGTTGCCACAAACAAGATGGATTACTCTAGGCACCTATTAAACATGCACAAAAAGAAAATGCGTACACTACAAAATCTTTTTGTTACAAGTTGTAGCAGGGAGATGAAATAAACAGTTCAAGCTGGGGCGAGAAGTCCTTAATATAGCAATAGAAGGCACATAGCTTTTAACTGCTGTGTAGCAAACATCATAGCTTTTTGTCCGTTTCATTACTGCTGAGGTAAGTAGGTAAGAGCAACTACCCCGTTTCACAGATGAGGAACTTGGTACATAAGCTTTCCAGAAACTTTAGAGGCAGGAGCATTACTAGGATGAAAAAACAGTTTTTATAATGCTGATTCTGTACCTAACCTATTAGATTAGACCAGTGGGAATTAACCAGTTAGACTGGTGCCAAGTTTGGCACTGACATGGATTAGGACTGACATCAGTGATCATGAAATGCAGTGCTGCTTCTGACATAAACTTGGCATTAGGTATTGAAAAGATTTGCCATCACTGGACTAAACTCTTAACCTCTGACAGAAGTGTCTTCCTGCGAACTATGTACAAAGAATGGCAAATGTCATTTGAGAAGGAAGAAAGTAAGTGTTTTAGAGATGAGAGTGTAACTGGAGACAGAGGGAAAAGAAGAGGTGATGAAAAGTTTCTTACCAGCTAGTAGTGTTAGTGTTTAAAATTAAAAAAAAAAAAAATATCCTAGTTTTCTTCTGATACTTTATGAAATCTGTAGTGGTATTCTAGGGAAATGGTCAAAGGTTGTGTATACAGTTAATAAGTAGAAAGATTCTGAGAAAATATGTGGTACTACTCCATTCTTCCCATTGTCCGTTCCAGTTCCAAGATGTATTTTATTCTTTCCCTGTAGTTGTATTTTTAACAGTCTTCCAATATGTTTGGGGTTTTTTTCCAGAGTTCAAACTTTGCTAAATAGTTTCTCTGTAATAGGTAAGGCCACTGAGTTTGATTTTCAAATGTTTTTGAACATTTAGGGTCTTCTGAAAATGTGTCTGGGTGAACAAAAAAATCAAGAAAAGCCATAAAAGTAGCTCTAGGATAAAAAAAATAAAATAATTAATGGTTTAATTTAGTAAATGGTTTATCTCCAAGATACAGGATAAGTTTGCTAGCTGATTGTAGAAACCTCATTATAATTGGGTTTCATCCTGTTTAGGCAGGTAAATCAGTCAAAGAATGGGAATACCTAATTGTTAGAGCGTTATATCATTAGAGCTGTCTTGTTTCTATCTTCAAAGCATTCACGAACAAAGATTTTGTCTTTTTTGCTTTATTTTTGTAAAAATTGCCTCCTTTTGCTCCTTTTTGTGGTGGGCTTTTTTTTTGGTTCAGATATTGTCTAGAAACTGTAAGTGATGATGAGCATGAACAGCTAAGCTGAATGTTAACTTAATTTGGAAAATATTTTTTTAATTTGATTCCTACAAAACTATACATAAAGTACATTTTACACCTAGTCACTTTTGGCAGGGTTGAAATGAAACAGCATTTGTAGTGTCCCATGAGAGTCTAGTACAATTCTAGTCCTGTTTATCTAAATACAGATTTAAATCAGTGATTTTGCCTAAGAAACTGCTGCAGTAGATTAGAACAGAATAGAATCATTCTGATTGGAAAAGACCCTTAAGATCATCGAGTCCAACTGTAAACCTAACACTGCCAAGTCCACCACTAATCCATGCCCCTAAGTGCCACATCTGTACATCTTTTAAATACCTCTGGGGTGGTGACTCAACCACTTCCCTGTTCCAAGGCTTGATAACTCTACTATTTAATTAGTATTAAATATTTTCAGATTTAGCCTTTAGGTTACTTTCTTAATAATTTCATACCGGTTAGGACCGAGTCCAGTTGCCTAAGTGTAGTCATGCAATGCCAGTTGAGATGCCCACAGTAGCTGAGAAGTCTGCACAGGGCTGAAAGATAACATGAGTCATAGGAGACCTGTGGGACAACGGCTGCACCTGAAATTGCACTACATACCTGTCTTTAAGCAACAGCATCCTATTCTCGGTTTCTTTTGCTGTGCAGGGGTGTGCCTGTTATACTGTCCTGGTTTGGACAGCTATCCCACTGAGGGCTCTATTATCCCATCCTCATTCTTTGATCAGAGCAACGACAAAAAGCTGTTTAACATCTTTGTCGGCGACATGAACAGTGGGATTGAGTGCACCCTCAGCAAATTTGCTGATGACACCAAGCTGTATGGGGAGGGGAGGGATGCCATCCAGAGGGACCTTGAGAGATGGGCCTGTGTGAACCACATGAAGTTCAACAAGGCCAAGTGCAAGGTCCTACACCATGGGTCAGGGCAATCCCAAGCACAGCTACAGGCTGGGCAATGAGTGGATTGAGAGCAGCCCTGAGGAGAAGAACTTGGGGGTACTGGTTGATAAAAAGCTCAATGTGACCCAGCAATGCATGCTTGCAGCCCAGAAAGCCAACTGTATCCTGGGCTACATCAAAAGAAGCATGACCAGCAGGTCGAGGGATGTGATTCTGCCCCTCTCCTTTGCCCTTGTGAGACCCCACCTGGAGTGCTGCATCCAGCTCTGGAGTACCCAGCACAGGAAAGACATGGACCTGCTCGAGCGAGCCCAGAGGAGGGCCACGAAGCTGATCGGAGGGCTGGAGCACCTTTCCTATGAGGACAGGCTGAGAGAGTTGGGGTTGTTCAGCCTGGAGAAAAGAAGGCTCCAGGGAGACCTTATAGCAGCCTTCCGGTACCTCAAGGGGTTCTACAGGAAAGCTGGTGAGGGACTGTTTATCAGGGAGTGTAGTGACAGGACAAGGGGTAATGGGTTTAAGCTGAAGGAGGGTTGATTTAGATTAGATATTAGGAAGAAATTCTTTACTGTGAGGGTGGTGAGGCACTGGAACAGGTTGCCCAGAGCGGTTGTGGATGCCCCCTCCCTGGAAGTGTTCAAGGCCAGGTTGGATGGGGCTTTGGGCAATGTGGTCTAGTGGAGGGGGTCCCTGCCCATGGCAAGGAGGTTGGAACTAGATGATCTTTAAGGTCCCTTCCAACCCAAACCATTCTATGATTCTATCATATATATAGATATACACTGCAGCCAAATTTATTTATACTGCAAATTTTGCAGTTTAGCTTTAACCCTTATTTAAGTTAATCTTATGAAGATTAACCTGCAAGCTTTGATTAAGACTGGTAGAATTGATGGTGGAAGGAGAAGCATTTTCCATACGTTTTTTAATAAGCTCTCTGATTTGAAGTCTCCCAATCAAAAAACATAATTTGATTAAAAGCCATGACTTATTTAGACTACTTAAATAGCATTATTTAGATTTTGTTAATTTATTTAATATGGTTAGTTTTAAATGATGTGGTTATGAGTATGAGAAAAACAGGCAAGTGCTGCTTTTGCAAAGGACAAGTTTGTTTGCTTTCTCCACCTTACTAGTCTGAAGAGAGAAATTTGAATTTTTCATAACAATTAAACATAACTGTAGATTGGAAAAGTCTTTTCATTGTGAAGATAAGTGTAGGCTTTTTTTTTTCATAGTTTTGTTACATAGTTGATTATTCAGGAAGAACAACAAGAGTTACAGTTACACTGGATGTGCTAATTTGATGTTCTTTCCCTGGA